AGGCTAAACCAGAAAGAAATTGTCATTTTACTTGTTGCTTGTTGTGACATCATCACTGCTTTTGTATCTCACCCACCAGACTTCTGTCGAAACTTCCAGTTCTCCCTCTGTTAGTCTACCCTTATATCAGTGAATCAAATCTTCGGGCAATACTATATATTTTCACCAATTGTACATGATATCCAATTTCATTGTATAATAATGTCTGGTAATTCTTGTGTCATCTTGTATAGCTTATATCACTCACTGATTGCGAGTATTGATTTAATAGGTAAGGTAAGACCACAGAAAATGTGCTTAATATCTTATTAAATTGCACGATATTAATTAGCATTTAAGAACCTTCAAAACGACAGCAGCTGTGACTGTACCGACCAGCAATGCACCCCTCTCCGTCCTTCCTTCGGTTTCTTTTTCCTTACCTATAGACAGGTGAGTGTGTGTGAGAGAGGTCTTAGGTGAAAATACCTTCTCACGCTTTTCAAGGCACGGAGTCACGTGGATTCGGTATTGCGAGATACGCACCATGCGCGTGAGAATTTTTACGTGAGAAATGAACTTCCTTACTTGCATACCCAGAATTGTTCTTCTTGTGGATTAACCTACTCAACTTGGCGGGGCAGCTTAAAAATATATGGAGTATTAGCGATAACAGCGGAACAATTAATGTAACACAGTGCGTGTGTGTATATATCTACACTACTTATAGCCCCCAATTTGTCGATGTAGCCCCACGAAATCATCTATTGTGGGTTACGCGAATAATATTGTATTTCATGATTTTATCAGTGAAGTCACGTAAAGTAAGTTTGCTTGTTTGAATACAAACTACACAATGGGGTGTATGGACTATGTTCACGGGGAATCGAACCTAGGATTTTAGCGTTATAAGTCCATAAACTTACCGCTGACCCAACGGGGTACTCGTGTAAAATAAAAATACAAAAAAAAAAAGTGGCGTTGATAAACAGAGTTGAAATGAATGTAGGGACAATACTCCTGTGCCTATTATTGTTCCGAGTTTCGTATAAATTATTTCGTTTTCATGTTATTTCACTGTTAATTTTGTGATAATAAATGTTTCGAAAGGAGCTCAAGTAATTAGTAGACACGCTCTGAACTTACTGATTCTGGTGAACTTTTCCCAGCATAATGTAGCGATATGTAAACTTTTAGAATAAATGTTACGATTTCTTGCTGATTTGCATATTTTACTGAATTTCGCGCAAAGCTACACGTGGTCTGTTCTGCGCTATCCGCCCCTAATTTCTAAAGTGTTATCCTAGAGGGAAGGCAGTTAGTCAACACCACCAACTCTTTGGCTACTCTTGTCAAATCTAAGAGTGGGATTTGACCTTCACTCTTTTAACGCACCCACGGCTCCAAAATGCGGGCCGTGATTTAATTTCTTTGAGGGGGGGGGGGCGAGATGCGAACCACGAAACCTCAGAACCACAGTCCAGCACGCGCGGCTTTATTAAGGTTTCTGAGACGTCGTACTTGATTACATACAAGAGCATAATGACACTCGGAATGATAAATTTGTTTTTAGTGCTTTAATAGTGACGTAGTGGCGTCGCAGAAGTGCTGTATTTGAGTGACCTATATGGTCACAGACTTATGGCACAAGCCTAACGATTGTGTACTTTCCCAGAGCAAATAAAGGATCTTTATTTCGCTCCTTTAATGGTAAGTAAATTATGACGTATAACGCACTTATTTAGGTGTTTTGCGTTCAAGTATATGTATTTCTCAACACAGATTAGAACGGAACCGTTATCGTTAAAACTCAATGAAGTGTATAAAATTTGAAGCAAGATTTTTTTTTTACCATGGTTCGGTTTTGAAGTTCGCGAAAAATTACACGAAGGTTATCTTCGCTAGACGTCCCTAATTTAGCAGTGTAAGGCTAGAGGAAAGGTAGCTAGTCAACACCATCCACCGCCAACTCTTGAGCTACTCTATTAATAACAAATAGTGGGATTGACTGTCATATTATAACGCCCCCGCGGCTGAAAGGACGAGCATGTTCGGTCTGAAGGGGATTCGAACCCGCAGATTGCGAGTCCAGCACCCTAACCACCTGGCGAATGACCTTGTTAACTAACAGTTTTATTATAACTATTTTTGGTTACGTTTTAAGCCAGTTCCAAGTTGAAACATTTGTAACACGATGAGCGACAATCTTGTTTTGTTTTATTTTTATTTCGGTTGGTAAATACAGCTAAATGTTCGAAACTATACATCATTACTGAGGCTGTAAAAACCATGAAAAAATTCGTGTTAATTGAATTGGCGCTTCCCATTGCGCTACAAAAATACGCACTTTGAGCCCGTGGGTTACGCTGTATGGGTGACGGTCAAATCCCATTATTCGGTCAGAGAATAGTAGCCCAAAATTTGGCGGTTGGCGCTGTTTATTGGTTGCCTTTCCTCTAGTCTTTCTGTTCAAAAGTAGGAACAATTATTCGTAGCTAACCCTCGTGTAGCAGGAACTTCCCAAATGAGTAAATATTTGAATCTATTCTGTATTTACCATTGGATTTACTGTGTACTTGCTGTTATGTTTGAAATCAAGTTCACTTTAGTTACATATTCTGTCGCCAGGGTGATTCGTTTGTGTTTGTTTGTTGTTAAGCGCAAAGCTACACAAAGAGCTATCTGTGTTATGCCCATCACGGGTATCAAAACCGGGTTTTTGTAGCGTTATAAGCCTTCAGATTGTTAGGGTTCCAAGTAAATTTCACAGTTTGCATAAACTTACTCGAGGATAAATTATTAGGTGAACCTCTCTAGTTGTTAGGTTATGGAATATGATTACATGCACCTTCAATACGATTTCGTAACATCTTGACGTTTAAAATGTCAGCTTACGCACAGTAAGAAGTTTACGTCTAATGTGAGAATACTTGAAAATGAAGCAGCTGTACACCTTTTTACATTTAAGTTTCAACTCACCTGCCCAGTTTTTTTACACCGTACTTATTTCAACTCAGTTGCCGAGTTTGTTTTACACCGTACTTGTTTCAATTCAGCTGCCGAGTTTTTTACACCGTACTTGTTTCAACTCAGTTGCTGAGTTTG